CACTAGCGGAGATCTATTTGTACTTTATAGAAATTTGAGCAGCATTGAATTATATAAATTTTGCAAGACTTTTGGAGAAGTAAATTTTTTATCATTTTAAATACTTTAGAAGGCAAAGCCACTTACTGTTAATAATGGTTATCTAGATTTCATAACAATGGAATGCTTATACTGAAGCCTTTGATACATTATTATTTAAATTTAATTTGGATGGAACCTAAGACAGACCTATAGTCATCCACATGGAGGATGAGGGCAGACCTATGGAACCTGGGGACAAAGTCACAATGTCACTTCTTCTTTGACTCCTAAAAGACTATCTTTATTTCCACCCAAATGAAAGTCCATGATGAATTATCTGAACTACCTTCAGTGATTCCCTTGCTAAAACCACTCTCCATCCATCATGATATTAATGACATTAGTCAGGTAAAGAAACTTTCCTAGAAAATAATCCATCCAGGAAGTATGTTGTATTATATATTGCTGATAAGACTAGTGGGATTCCCAAATCTCACAAAGAATCAAATGTTCCTTCCTATGAAGGAAAGTATTGATTTATTATATTCTGATGATAAGCTGAAACCTAGGAATTGTGACATGACTACAATCAGAGGATAATGACAAATATCTTCCAAGGCAGAAAAAAATATTTTAAAAATTGGTTTAGAAGGGTTTGTGTATTTTATACCTCCTAAAGAACATACATTGTTTCACAGATCTTTTAGTTTTTTAGTTATATCGGAAAGATATACCCTATAATGAATGGTTCAGGGTTAGTTCATTAAGCCTATAAGTTGGGTAAAATCTCCTAAAGGAAATCCAGTTCTCTTTGATTTCATGATCACAAAAAAAGTATTCAATTAACAACATAATGTCCCAGGTAGCCTGTTCCAGGAATCCCCTGACCCCAGTCTTACACTGAGCCATCATGCTATATCATTCTCTTCAGCCCAATCTTGCTTTCATTTTCATAAGGGCAAAGCTATTAACATTCTTGTCTCATAATTCCTTGACCTTCACAATCTCAGTGTTCTTCCTGCTTTTTCATCTCAGATATGCAGTCTCAAGGCTAAAGTCTGGACTTCATAATCATCTCAAATTATGGTATTTGTAGACATTAAACTCTCACAACCATACTGTGACCCCAAGCCATTCTCCCAGACACTTACCATACTGTCAAATCTGTTTTTGAGCCACAGAGACTTCTAGTCCCTTGAATTTGAGGTTCCTTTCTTTGCCTATCTAAACTGAACTTACCCATGGTTGATCATTTGCTTTACTCTCATCACTACTCTCAATTTCTTTATACTCGCAACATCCTTCTGCTAAAATCACTTGCAAACATCAGTTTTGTAAATGCCATAATACACTTTCTGTTTCTTTGATAGTCAGTTGAGCATTCTTGGAGATAGTATCAAAAATCTAAGCAAATTGCTTCACTGCAAATTCATAGATTTACGTTTGGGTTAGATTCTCAATATAGTCTGTCGATTCTTTTATTTGTTTACGGTCAGTCCTCTTTCCTATTGTTGTTAATAATATTCCAGTCTTTTCTATTTTCTTTAAAATCCATGCCACCTTTACTAGTTCTTTCTCTGCTGCTGGATCACTTAATGGTAGAGTCTGGAGGGTTCAGCCTTGGACTTCTTTTTTTCCTATTTGTGCTTACTCCCTTAATGATCTCATCTAGTCTCATAGTTTTAAATACCATGTATAGGTTAACAATCCTAATAATTTTACCTCTAGCATAGACTTTCTTCTAAACTTGACTCTCTTATATACATTTCAACTCGGATATATATTTGGCATATCAAATGTAATTTTTATTCTCAAACTAGCTTTACCTGTTTTCCCCATTTCAGTGAATTAAAAAAAGATTATTCAGTGAATTAAAAAAAAGGTCAAAAATTTTATACTTGTTTGACTCTTGCATATCTCTTACATTCCACATCTAACTTTTCAGCAAATTCTAAGATTTTCCTTTAGAATATAGTGTAAATCTTAACACTTCTGATTACTATTACTGCAGCAACCCAAGTTCAAACTAACATTCTCTATCCCGTGGATCATTGCAATAGCCTTTTAGTCTTTCTAGCTGTTTTTTGTTTTGTTTTGTTTTTTTCTTTGTTTGTTTTTTTTTACTACTCCCTTCACTAGAATATAAATTCCATTAGGGTAGAGATTTTTGTTCACTGTTATATCACCTACCCCTACAGTAGAGCCTTTAATAAGTCCAGTAGGCATTTAATAAGTCCTTGTTGAATAAATAAAAATAAGTATAAGGTAAAGTGTTCATGCGAAGGTTTGTTTTAGTAGGAGCATGGTGGCAGGACTGAAGGCCACATAAAAAGGCAAAGATGTAGGTGGGTGAGTAGATATGGTAATGAGGACCTTGGAAGTTCTTTTCTGATTGCTTTAATTATCTCAGTGAAGTGAGAAACAAAGTCATCAGTTTAGAGCGAAACTAGGGAAGATGATGTTGGTGGTTTGAAGAAAGAAGAAAAGAAGTGAGTTTTCTAGGTGAGTGGAAGACTGAATGGGCTATGGAACCATAGTGTGATTATAGAGCAGCATCAAATGGCCCACTTGAGTCTCAGAGTCATAAATAGAAGCAAAACCAGTAAGCATGGTCATGTGATTTTCCCCAACCATGTTTACCTCTGTGATTCAGGAGCAGAGTATGTAGGGGGTTGGATTTAGTGAGGACTGTGATTTACCCAAATGGGAATGAAGATGTGGGAGAGGGTATGACATTTGAGGTGAATGCATGGAAGTAATTGTGGCAAATACAGTATGTGGTAAACACAGGCTGGTTAAAAGAAAAAGAAACATGAGAAAATATAATGTTAGAAGTATCAGAAGATTTTCATTCTGATGAGATCCAAGAAATGTTGGAGTTGAGAAACTAGAGGAGTGGTATGGAAAGAAAAGAAGTAGTGGTCAGAGAATGAAAAAACTGAAATTACGGAGGGTCTGTGGCTATTTCTCTAGGCTAGGACTGTAAGGGGCAAGGAAGAGTAGAGGTCAAGGCAAGACAAAATTACTCATAGGATATAATGTTGGGAATTGTAAAAATCATAGTATTAAGGGGAAGAATATTGAGCCAGGAACTTAATCTTCAAAGAAAAAAGGGTTTGATTTGGGTGTAGACAAATGACCATGACAAGGAGAGGCAGTGAGTGGTATAGACTGATGACATAAGGTTCAAACCTGAAAGTTTTTAGGTAAGAATAGTCTGGAAGCAGTAATAAGGAGCAAGGAGGGCACCTATTTCACTCCCTGGCCCAGTATGAGAGAAAACAGCTACCACTGAGAGTGCTTCTTGAAAGGAAGTACCCTTCAGAGGGAACCATAGTTTAATTAGAGCTAGAATATTTAGAGAAGAGATTAAAAATATGGAGGATTTTGTGATGGCCGACTAAATTCCAGACACTAAATTCCAGTGTACAGTGAAAAGGCTTTCAGAGTTGGAGCAGGGTACAAGATGCACTAAGGGTGTGCATAGCATATAGTGATTGAGAGATGACTAAGGACTGGATTTCTCACAGAGACAAGATCTGAGCTGCCACGGCATAGAAAGGTGGTACAGCTTGAAGGGAGAGTAGAATAGGCTATATTGCCAGTGAAAATCATATTTCTTGCGACAGAGGCATGGAGGCAGCAGAGGGGCAGGGTTACTCTGACTAGATGAGGCTGAGTTTATCACAGACACTGATTATATCAAAAGTGATTTCTCTCACCTTCCCTCTTCCCCTACTCCACCATATTCTTTTCTTTATTTTAGTTTATTTTCTCTGGATGCCAAGGAGGCCATGTTTCTTCTTTTGTTTTCTCAACTTATTCTGCCTCCTTCCTCTAAGATGTTGCTTCACTTTCATTTTCTATGGTATCTTCTCTCAGTCTACAGACATGATTAAGTCTATCCTATTACAGACCAAAAGGCAACTCTTTGATTCTACTTCCCTCTCTAACTCTCAGCCTCTCTCCTTACTACTGACCTAACCTTCTTTCAAGATAAATTTATAGCACCATCTTCTCTTTCTCCTTTTCATTTAGTTTTTAATTGATTGCTCTTGGGTTTTTGATGTCTCTAGCTTTGTGTCTTTTAAAAGCAGAGTTATTTATCAAAATTCTAATGTGACTGTCATTTTCCAATCTACGGTTATTTAATGATTCTCTACTGTCAATAGGACAAAACGTGAGCTTGATCCCCACACCTGCTGCTTCTTTCTATGCTTTCATTCACCTGATTTTCTCAGCCTGGGACATCTTTATCTTCTTCACTGAGATTTAAATTTCAGGAGTCTTTTTTTTTTTGTTTCCCAGAGTTTGTTAGGTTGGGTAGGTAGATACACCACATTACTTTTCCCTCAGTATTCCATGCATACCATTTTTCTACTTGTCAGTGGTATATTGACTATTTCCTGTTCACTCTTGCATCCCTAGCTGCTGATTTTGAATAAATAAAGAATGAATGAAAGAGAAAGCAGAGCCTCTAGAGCAGACAGTCACATTTTGATAGCCAGAAAAATGTACTTCTAATTTTAAATCCATATTTAGCATTCTTGTTAATGATAAATGTTGGAAGTTTCTTGCATGCTTAGTGATTATGAGTCAAATTGAAGTTGTTAATCCAGAGTTAAATGGATCAAAGTTTCTTTTGAAACAGACCAGATGCTGTTTGTGACGAACCCACTAAGGTAGAGATGCCCTGTAATATTCCAGCAGATCAGCTTGCCAACCTGCTATTTTATTGTCATTTCCTATAACAAGATCTTCCTGGGATTGAATGCTTTTTCTGACAAATGGTGTCATAAAAAAAGAATCTGATCTACTAAGACTATTTTTATAGCTGTTTTCTTTGGCAGCCATTCATACAGTCACAGGACAATAGGCAATTTATCAAACTAAATGATTTTTATTCACGGTATATAGAGAATAAAGTCAAGTTAAACCTTTGACAAGACTGAAAGTCTAATTTATTACATGTCTCATAGGTCTCTTCTGGTGATTCTGAAGCCAAACCTCTGATCTTCACATTTGTCCCCACTGTCAGAAGACTACCAACCCACTCTCAGTTGGCTGACACCTCTAAATTTCTTGTTAAAATTCCTGAGGAACCAAGTGATAAGAATCCAGAAACTGTAAATAGGGTAGGATTATTTTTACTTTTTTATATCAAGCAATTAACATTAAATTATCCATAATCATTACTTGAAAACTGGTATGAATGTTTATTTTTTTCTGCTTAAAGTGAGGTGACTGTGAAATCTATGGTCGACTAAAAATATAATTATGTAATAGAAATTTAAAGGTTACCAAATCCCAGGTACTCACTAATACATTATTCTCATTATTTTCAATCCTTTTGAGTTGACATCTTATTGTTTACTATTCACATGACACATTTTGCCTCCTGGCACCTCCTCTTCTTTCAAAAGTATCTTAAAATAACAAGAACAAAATTAAAAAAAAAGTTTAAACTTATTTTGAAAGAAAATACAAGATAAAATAGTGTGGTGTTACTATTTCTCATGTAATAAACTAGCAACATTAAAAAAATGTAACATCCAATGTTGGCACAATTGTGAAAATATTTGCATGCTCATACTTTGCTGCTAGTTTTGTGAATTTGTACAATTTTGGTGGAACGCCCTTATCCACAATCGTAAAACTGTTTATAACCTTTCAATAATTTCACTCTTGGAAAGGTATCCCAAGGAAATAGCACAAAAGAAGAAAAATAATTATGCAAGAAAATAATCAGAGAAAAATAAAAACAGCCTAATGTCTAACAATCAGAGAAAAGTTAAGAATAGAATAATAAATCACCTTGACCAAGTTTTAATTATAGCAATTATGTAATTCCACGGAAAATGTTAACCTTATATTAAGTGATAAAATAGGTTATAAAACTGTATTTATAGCCTGATTATACCTATCCAAAATGAAACCAATACAGAAAATTAAATTAAAACACAAGAACAAAAACTTTAGATTGCTTGTGTTAAAATAATGACATCATGGGTAAAAAAAAAATCTTTAAGATGTATTTTAATAGTCTTATTATAAATAAAATGTAACTGAATGAACTTTGTGGTATTCTTGAGTCAACAGGAAGGGGATAAAATAATCTAATTTACTTTGTCTGTATAAAAACATCTCATTTAGTAAATAGTAATATATCTGTGATTCTGGGACTTTCAATACTCTTGTTTTAAGGACTATAGGGGCCTAATTATTTCAGAGTCATCCTGAATACTACATAAGGCACTTTTGAGAAGTTTCTCCCTAATAGTACTCAACTGCATATATTTATAGAGGCTTTTTTATTAGGTGTCCTGAGTATGTGAGACTGTGATGTATGAACCAAATTTGGTTGTGTATCTCCAAAGCTTCCTAAGATGATGATATTCATCTGCTGATTGCAATGATACATATGTAGCTATGTCTTTAAAAGAGTAAAGATTGTTTTTTCTACTTTCTAAAAACAGTTCAGTATTATAATAAAACAATATTATACCTAAAAACAGTTCAATATTATAATAAGACAATTGCTCATTATATAGTTACAGAATACATGCTATGTGCTTAGTGATGTAGATTCTGTGTGAATAAAGTAAACACATGTAAATTATTTGTGATTAGAAATGCAGACAATGAAAAAAGTGAAAAGTATATAATAAAATCTTGGTTAGTGGTAAATGCTGTAAAAATACATCAGAGTAAAGGAATTAAGAATGATGGACTGTGGGGGAGGGAGTTAATTTAGATCATTAATAATGTTTTCAAATGCTAGTTGAATTTTTGCCAGTTTTTTAGTTATTCCATTACTTTCCATAATAAGCTATCTGCTTTTGAATCCTTCTTTTTTAAATTTAAATTTCCTTTCGATTTGGGCTTTTATTACTATATAGGATTGTAATTTAATATGTGAAATGACCATTGTCAGAGAAATTCCAATCAGAGGGAATTTGTGTTTTATCTTGACTACATCATCATCTGAAAAGTGTGGAATAGTTTTATAAAGTCAACCTCTTAATCATCTAATCAATGATTTTACTTCTATCTTCACATATACTACACATAATACGTATTGGCATACATTAAATTGATGATCAAAATTGAAATTGAAATTTAATTTCTTTTAGTTTAATAGGTGTCTTCTTTAACTTTTCTATTTGGAAATAATTTTATTTGTATTCTTTAATATATTTTTTAAAATTTCAATTATAGTTGACATACAATATTTTATTAGTTTCTGGTGTACAACATGTTGATTAGACATTTATATAACTAATGAGGTGATCACCCTCATAAGTCTAGCACCCATATGACACCATACATAGTTATTATAGTATTATTGACTATATTCCCTATACTGTACTTTGCATCTCTGTGACTATATTTATAACTGGCAATTTGTACTTTCTGTTGAGAAATCAGCCGACAGTCTTATGAAAGTTCCCTTTTAGGTAGCTTTTAAGATTCTCTTTTTGTCTTAGACCTTTGGCATTTTAATGATGTGTCTTAGTGTGGGCCTCTTTTGTTTCATCTTGTTTGGTACTCTCTGACCTCCTGTGCTGGTATGTCTATTTCCATTACCAGATTAGAGAAGTTTTTCATTATTTCTTCAAATGGGTTTTCAGTTTCTTGCTCTCTTCTCTTTCTGGTACATTGCGTCTTTTAAAAACAATCTTAGCATACATAGTTTCTATTGTTTTAGAAAAAAGTGTTCAGTAGCATGATAAATCTATCTTCCTCCTGGTCTTGTAAACCTTCTGTATATTCGTAGAAAGTTGGATAGGAAATGATTTAGAATTACAAATCCAAAATGAAATAATATTAAAAAATACTTCATACTAAAAATATCTATCTTTTTTTGGTGTCCTATTTGTAAGTTCTTCCCAATTAGCTTAAATCTTGTATCTGAATATCAGTGCATTTTATACCAATTTTATTTTTTCTCTCAGACATATTTATATTATTTTAGAACCTTTCAATGAAATTTCCTTTCTCCCCTGTTTTATACACGATATACACATTTTCTTGATCATTAACAAAACCTTTGACCAGATCCCCATTTGTTTCATAAATGTCTTCATGGAAAACGTTGTATTCTCCTTCTTTTAAAAAATCATATCATGGTTTATTTGAAAGCAATTTTGTTTTTTGATATCGCTTCTGAGCCCTATATTGTTTTAGTTTTGACCAAGACAAACAGGTGGGCTAGTAAAAGTAAATCATTAATTTCGACTCAATCTCTCCTAAGCCAACCTAAGTTTTAAATATGTTTTTAAAAACTCTTGTTTTTAGAGATTATAAGCAGGTTCAGGTTTTAAGTATACATGCCAAAAAGAAGGATTTGTCAAACCAATGTCAATGCTTTTATGTCTCTACACTTATTGCAGTCTAACTTCAATGAGTACTTGACTGTGAATGCTGGGAGCCAACCGGAAAGAGACCAAGAGATATCGACTTATCCTTCAGGGATCAGAGAAAAGATTTCACAAGGAAGGGGATTTAAAGCAAACAAACCTCAAGGAATGCAGCAAAGTGACCTCTTCAAAGCTGAATATGTCTTTATTGTGGACTCTGAAGGAGAAGATGAAGCTATAAACAGAAAAGGTGAACAAAGCCCCCCAAGTGGCATGGGCACTACAGCTACTCGGCCCAAGTCTCTAGCAATCACCTCTAGTCTGGTCTCTGATGTGGTGCGTCCAAAAACCCGGGGGGCCAACCTTCAGGCCCCATCGCATCCTGAAATGCCTCATGGGATTGCTCCTCAGCAAAAGCATGGGCAGGTAGGTCTTTCTTCTTGTTACAAGAAAGAAGATATTGTTTATATACCCCTTGTTCTAGGCTGTCTGCAAAGGTCTTTCTGTTCAAGGCATAAAAATATCTCTTAAAGAAAACTATTAAAAAACCAAAATCTTAAGCTCATAAATAATCAGTGTAAATATAGATAATAAATCCATAAGATAAAAAGGAGTATACAGTTATACTGTGAATTGAAGAGAAAACGTAAAACATTTAGCTGGAGTGAATTTCGGGGAATAGTACCTCTTCTTTTTGAACAATTGATAATGGCAGTTTCTTAGGAGAGAATGCTTAGCAAGCTTGGTGCATCAAGAAGCACATTGCAAATATGAGAAACATTCAGTGAGAAGATACCAATTGGATTTTTAATGTAGGCACATTGTTTTTAAACTAGTAAAAGAGTAGTAAAAGAATACACTATGTACTGAGTTTGAAGTAAAATAATTCTCCTGTGTGTCTTAAGGGAAATATCTACTGTGGTCCTGCAAGGCTTCAGGATGGGGTTGGCATCAGTGAAATGTGGGGAAAATCTCATCCTAAAACTTAGAAGCAATATTGTATGGTTCCTTTATGGTGAAGAGCTTTGGTACAGTAGGAGAAGACCCATGTCTGTGATGGTAGGAAGGAAATGGCAAGGTAAGAAAGATAAGGAGGGCATTTGAAAGGAAAAAATAGGAAGAGTTTGCCATTGATTGGCTATTTTTTATAAAGAAATTGTAAGATGACTTTGACAAGTTGTAGGTAGAATGTCAAGAATGCAGAAGCTGGCTTTGGAGTAAATGGTAGATGCAGAGCTCTCCTTGACAATGAGCACAAGTCAGTACTAAGATGCCCTGTTTAGGATCTATGAGACCAGGCATTTGCAAGCATCCTAAAGTAGTTGGAAGACCATTTTTATTGGTGAGTTGGCCTTTGGTTGCTACTAGGACCTGTGCAAAAATGTAGAGTAGGTATCTTATTTTTGGTTGCACCTCATCTTTATTTCTGCAGCCTTCACTGACTTCCTGATGCTGTATTCATAACTCTTTCAAGCATCCAGTATGCTCATGCTGCTTTTTGGTGCTAGAAGACTCTCACTGGGCTACCCCCACCCAGGTCTGCTGGAGTATCACATTTATTTCTTCTTGAAATTTATTCTCAGCTAGTTATTTGAAATATTCTAATCAAATATATAATAAAACCTATTCTCGGTAAGCAATGATAGGCTTAAATATTTTTTCTTGCCTCTGGAATGATGATGGAATAACCAAGTTGGAGATGTGGGGGCTTTCATAGTCAGTGGAGGGTAGTTTGATGTGGTCTCTTTAAAGAAGAGCATGTAGGCTTAAAGATAACAAATATAAATAAAAAAAAAGAAAAATTTTCTTAATGGAGCAATATTTGGATTTTTGATTTATTCTTTTCTCCAATTGATATATTTCTTCCAAACTTTGTCATTTATTTTGTTTTCATGTGACCAAATATATAAAGGTTGAATTAGAGACTTAAACCCACACTTTGGAACCTTTTTGCCAACATAGGTTAGTTAGGAGTAGGTTATAGTTTGTGTTATAAAAGCTCCAACTGAAAAGGCAAAGCTCAACTTAATTCATTAGTAGTGGCTGAAAATGATGATTACTCCTAATGGAGGAATACTGGATCCTGGAATGTTTGGGAGTAGCCATAGTTTCTGTTTCCATTTCCTGTAATAATTCATTTGCATAATGAATAGTAGGTCATTATAAAACAAAAATAAGTTGAATTAAAAAATAAGATGACTGTTACTCACAAAATTAAACTAAAGAGAAATGACTAGAGAACCAAAGAAGTTACTCTAAGCTTAATGTAGTCAGTAGTAGAAGTTTAATGTGAAAAGTCTAAAGGATATCCCATGATTGGATTACTTGATGCCAACAACACATTTTCAATCAGAAATGCAGTTAAGTGATTTTTCTGGTCTATCTGGTAAAAATTAATCCATGTGTAGAATTATCTGTAAATTAGCACTATTAGTTATAATAATTTATTGTTATACCTAAAAAAATGTCTTTAGTTCTCAATTTGAATTGTAACCTTTCCATAACCTAACCCAGATGTCATTTTCTATCCACATTTTGCATGTCTTTTCTTCAGCTCTTCTGAATTATCATCAGAGTTCACACTTTATACTTTTCCATCCCCTAGCCTTGATTCCTCTGTGTGTAATACTTCTTTCTTCCCCAGACCTATGCCCATTTTGACCTAAGCTACTTGACACTCTAAGCTTAGCTCAAGTAACACATTTCCCTAGAGACATTTCCTTTAAAGGGGAGTTAGTTTTTCTCCTTCGTCTTTGTCATTTTCCTTATAGTTTTATAATTTTTTAAGAAAATCTTCAATATAACTCCTTTTGACTTGCTTATGATCATTGATTTTCTTTTTCTTCCTCACTAGACTGAGAATAATTGGAAGTCGAAGTCTGTCTTCTGTTCATTTCTGTATCCATAGCACTTAGTGCAGTGTCTTGAACATAGGTGAGGTTCAAAAAAGTGTATGAAAAGAAGAAATATTTAAAAGTTTATATCTTCAAAGCCCTTTCTCAGATAGCCAGTCCTTCATGAAGTTAGCTTTGGTTCTTTCAGTGAAAGCAAACTCTCCCTCAATATAATTCTGAAAGATTTTTTCCCCTGAACATCTTTTATAATAATTATCCTATTCCGGCATGTATTATAACTACTTAGTTTCATGTCTTATCTCCCCTAGTAGACTGTAAAGTCTTTAAAGATAAAGTCTCTGTTAAGTCCATTTTTATTAAACATTTTGATCCCTACAGTGGTTACTATATTATCTTGAACATAGTCAATATAAATATTGAGTTGAGTGTATTTATGGTCCAAATATTTTTGTTAAAGTGGCATGTTTAAATAAAAGCACTTTATGTTACAAAATCACTAAAGAATTTTAAGTTTTAAAGTGTAAGCCAAAAGAATAATGCTATATGATTGATTGAATAAAATTCCTCTCAAATAAAATTCAGAAAAAAAGAGTAATGTTTTTAATGTTGGTGTAAAAGTATAAAAATTGTCTTAACTAGGGATGGATAGTATTATAGTTAAAAGAGAGGTGTATATACATATGCAAACACAGAGTAATTTGTCTCAAAGACCTATGATAAATCCTGGATTTAAGTCAGAGATAATGGGAATTGAAAGATGGACTTATGGGATAGAGTAGTTAATTGAATTTGTTTATTGACAATATACGAGAAAAATCAACAAGTCATGAAATCTGCAACCAAGGAAATTAGATGAATGTTGGATTAATTGAGGAAAGAATAACAAGTTTTGGGAAGCGATAGGAAGAGGTAAGACATCTGATATTGAGTTCAATATGCTTTTGTGGCATAGCATGTTGGTATTTAAAAAGAAAGTGAAAATATGAATCTGGAACTCAGGAGAGATGGGAAACTGGAGATGTTTTCTATCTAAACTGAAGCGATGAGAATGGAGATATTTTTTCATGTAGAACAAGAAGACATAAGATACAAGCAGAAAACAGTAAAATATACAGGACTTGTGAAAGAAGAGAAGCCATTGAAAGAGACTGTGAGGGGACCAAAAAAAGCTAGAGAGAGCAGTTTCATGCAATGAAAGCTAAAGGAGCTTTCAACAAAAAGAGTAGTCTATAAACAAGGTCAAATAACAACAAAAATGTAATATTTAATAATTTAATAATTTTTTAAAGGTAGCTTAGTAATTTTTTTAATAGAACTCAAATAAATCTGGTATCAGTCATGTCAGTTTGGAAATACAAAATAATAACTAATGACTTTTCTAGTAATAACCATAATAATATAATAATTAACTACTTCCTGGCAGTGTTGACATATTTTGAGTGCTGATCTAGAGTTATCAAATATGAAGCACAATAGTTCTTTTACTTTTATGCTGAATGTCCTCCTGGAGAATGCAGCCTTCCTTTGTAGCATTGTACTTTTATATTTTTAGCTGCCTTGCCGGATTTTCTTACTGTACACTAGCAAGTAATTCTGCCAAGTAGGACAGTCAGGTTAATATATGCTGCTGCTTGATTAGGGAAGAAGGGCAAGTTGAGAGATTCAAGAGGCCCAGATCAAAGCTGAGGAAAGGATAAAAGGCCTTTTGCTGATAGAGCTGGAAACAAAGCACTAGGAGACCGTGAGGGAAGTGTGTCCCCTGTAAGGCAGGAAGGGGACCCTCTCTTCTTATTGAGTATTAGTAGGACCAGAAAATGTGTAGGGATGAGGCCAGCGGTGTGGCATCTGACCTGGCCACTGTCTCACTTTGGAATATGGGAGGCCTTCCACCCTCACGGGTCAGCCCCTAGAGCCTTGTCCGCAGTTAGCTACTTGGAGCCACACCTCCTCTATGCTCTCTCCTGCTCTGGGAGAAGCAGGTTGAAGTTGTCTAACATCTGACCAGTCCTGCTCCAGAAGAGCTGCCTGGTGCCTTCTATTAAAATACTATATAATGTTTTTCACTGAAATAATATAAAATGTTATAAATGTAATATAAGAAAAAATAAAATATAAAACAAAGTCAAATAAAACAGGGCCCTCAAAACCCATTAAATGGAAATTAGGATGTTATTTGGTGACTTTAATGAGCACAGTGTGAGTAGAACGATAGGGGCAGAAATCAAGTTGGGAAATAGATAAGTGGTGAGGAAAGGGATATCATACATAAAAAGATTGGTATGAAAAAGCAAAAATGAGAAAAAGAACTTACTGGCCATGCTCTTCTGGGTAGTTACTTGTAATCATAAACCTTAGTTTTCTCATTTGTAAAATAGGGTAATGGCATCAACCTTCCTTGTGAAGGTAAAATGAGATTTTATACACACACACACACACACACACACACACACAAACTGCTAGGACAGTTCCTGGCCCATGGTGGGTTCTCAACAAATAATTTACTGTATTTAAGAAGTCTGAGATGACAGCTTGTTTTTGGGCACAGAGTAAGGATCATGTCAGGAGGGAGAGGTTTTATACATTGGTTCAAATATAGCTTAGATGTAAGAACTGAAGAGGAGACGTGGAAAATAAGATCAGAAGAACTGGCTGGGGTCAAATATAGGAGGTTCTTACATAAAACTCTGGGAAATTTGGATATTAGCTCATATATTTATTAAGTACCTAGATTTCATGGATCTATGGAAAAGGGATTACAACAAATTATTTAGACAAGGCATTAGACATATAAATCTTCCTTATACTCCTGGCCCTCAATTTTATAATGAAATGCCCTGTTCATACCAGTACATTGTATTAGAATAGCCTTTATATGTCTCTCTCACACCAGTATTTTTGTAAGCCCTGTCATGACAAAAAATTCTTCTTCCCTTCTGGTCCCTATTACCTAACACAATGCCTTGGACACAGTAGGTGCTCAGAAAGTCTGATGAGTGAATGAAGGAATAAATGATCCTCCTTTTCACATGAACTTGTGATATAAATAAGGAATAGACATCAGTGCATGAACTGTCTTAATGAGCACCCAAAGTGGAGGGAAAACTATAATAGAGTATGGAAGAGAGCCTAGTAATTCTACCTTGCATTTTAGCTGTTTCTCCCTATTTTGCTTCCTAAAACAAATCATCCATAGCTTTTGGACTTAGAGATTTAGAGACTGAAGACTTTGAAAAGAACTGGTAGATTAAGCTTCCATGTTTGAATCTGCTAACTGTTGGGAGGACTAGCTTGGAATGACAGAGGTACAGTGCATAGTGCTTTTCTAGCCACTGCTTCTTATATCACATTTGTAATGTCCCACTGGCCAAAATAAATCATATGGCCAGTTAAGATTAAGGGGTGAGGAAAAGTCTTTGCCTTTTTAATAATAAGACTAGAGAATATTGGGCATTTTTACAATCTACTACATGATATTTGTTATTATATTTTTAAAGATTGGACAGATTTTGCATTATATTTATGTTAGGATGATAGAGCTAGTAAAAAAGAAAAAGAATACATAACATAAGAGGATTACTGATGAAAAGTGATCCCCAAGAAGGCAGGAGCTGCTGTGATTCTCAGTACATAGAGAAAATTTACCTTTTAAAAAGTGAAAAGTAATATTTTTTTCCTTAAAATAAAGGAAAGGAAATGAGAGTAGATCTAGAAAAATCAGAATTCCCTGGTAATCTCAATTTTCCTTGGATAAAAGGAATCTAGGTTATCTGTAGAGGAAAAAGGTTTCTGAGGAGTGTTAACTTTTTGGAAGATCTGTTCAGAATAGGAGAGAAAGCTGATGTCCAAACAAAAGAAAAGAAAAAAAATCAAACCACCAATAAAATTGCCAAGAGGTACAAGGCCCAGCTGAGCCTACAGACCTTAGATTTATAATGACACAAATCCACAGTGTCTTACCCATTCTCCATGTAAACTAGAGAATGGTTCCCCTTCTGCATATGTACAAGGAAATTCAGCCCCACTCTCAGCTGGCACCCTTGTACAGAATAAGTCTGTAAATTAAGTTTAGTGGCCCTGACAATCAACAGAGTTGTGTTAAATTTTTTTTTTTTTTAATAGCAGCTTTAAGTAGACTAGGTCTAGGAACATAATGGCAGTTGTCAGGAATGATTTAAAAATGCAGATTTCTCAAGTAGATTGGTAAAAGAACAAGATGGCTAGAATGTTGACAATACTGGTAAGAAGGTTGAGATTGAACAAAGTATTACTAACACCTAAAATGCAAAATACCAGATGAGTGAGATGAGATTGGATAGCGAGAGGCCAGTCAATAAGGCGAGATCTGTAATTCATGGTAGACAGAGATTATTGATGATGTCTTGAGCATAGGTTACTTTGATCAGATTTTAAAAGGTCACATTGATGATAGATTGGTATGAGAGGTAGGAATACCAGAAATATTATTTAAATTGTTCAGATAAGAAAGGCTGAGAATCTGCTTAGTGATATTATGAGAGTCCATCAGTGAGAACTGATCAACAGGTAAGTTTAGGAGGCCAAGCTGCCGCGATGCCATGATCATATGTGAGGACAGGGAGAATCTAGAGTTTCTGTCTTACATGGTTATACAGATTCGGGAAGAAAAGCACAACTATACAGGACCAACATCTGGTGCTGTCCAAATCTTGAGAACTATTCTGAACATCAGGTAGCAGCAGATCAATCACTTTAGCTTTTATTCAGATGCTTTGGAATCTCATAGACACATTAGGAAAAAATGAATATATACAGGAGCAGTTAATGTAGATTGACTAAAATTATAAGGTAGCTCCACAATCGAGACTGATTGTTAAAATAACTGATGACTTCTATTATAGAGGACCCAGGGGTAGATTCGTGATTGAGATTGTCCACTTGATAACAGTAGAACATTGCAAGCATCCCCTTTTATTAAAATTATTGTGAATGTATTCCAGAGTTCAAGATAGTCTTTCTAGAAAAAGAGAGTTGTGAGAATGACTTTGGAAGAAGTATGTAGTAAAGGGACTCAAGGAATCGGAAG